CTCTCTCTCTCTCTTCACACACACACACACACCTCTCTCTCTCTCTTCATACACACACCTTTCTCTCTCTCTTCATACACACACACACACACAAACACAACTCTCTCTCTCTTCACACACACACACAAACACACACTCTCTCACACACACCCATGCACACACTCTCTCACACACACACACTCTCTCTCTCTTCACACACATACAAACACACACAGACACACACACACGCACACATTCTCTCTCTCTTCACACACACACTCACAAACACACACACACATACTCACACAGACACACACACACACACAGAACATATTTCCATTGAAGGCCTGCTCCAAGCCCTTTACAACTCCTCGTCCTGAATGTGGAGGTGGAGGCTGATGCTTATCCATTTTAGTTTACTCAAGAGGTCTATTTGAGCACGGTCTCTTCACTTGAGGAAGGACCATGGCAATGATCCTCTCACTTGCTCCTGAGACTGTGGGAAGACAGTGAATCCCAGCTCACATTCAATGGATGGAATGGCCTCTTTCTGTGCCATGAATATTCTATGACATAATTCCCATTGACAGACTCTACCTGCCTTGGTTGGATATGATTAAAATCATCCCAAAAGTGAAATTGCATTGATGAGGCGCCATTGCAATCTGTGTATAAATGCTGCACAGTTGTCTTTTCTACGGAGTTTCAACCAGTATCACACAATTGCCCACCACGGCTTATATGCTTTTGTCATCTTTATTCAGCAGGTGACAGAATATGGCCTTTATTGCCACTGTAATGGCCAGAATGCATGAAGAATAAATTTATATTTTTTGTGCAAAGCTATATACTCTTCACAATGCTCTTATTTAACTTCTTTAAAAAGGCAAATGATCAACACTGCTGGACTCTTAAGGTGGCTGCTATAAGCACATGACTGAATTCAGCTGGAACCTTCCAGAACATTCTGCAAGTCAGAGCCAACAGGGCCTTTAACTGCTCATTAACTCCCGGAGTCTCACCCTGCTACTTTATCGTAACTATAAAAGCCTAGAGATGTTCTGATTCACATGGAGACCATGATAGAAGTCAATTGCAAATCACTATAGTCCAAGACTAAGATGGGAATGGCATCCCAATTAGCTACTGAAATGGACCATCCACACCACTCCAATTGGCATTGGCCATCTTGATGAAGGTGATCAACATACTTTGTTTATCAGACTGGCTTAGCAGAAATCACCCTTTCACATGACTGAAACTGGGCTGTTTAAGCATCTTTTTAAATATTATAGTTCCAACATCAGTTATTGACTGTAACATCATGAGAAGATGCTTCTCCTTAGAAGATGTAGTCCTTAGCAGCTACCAGGCCTGCTCTCCATCGATATGGGGAGGTGATGACCTAGTGGCATTATCGCTGAACTGTTAATCCAGAGGCCCACAGAATGTCCCGGGGACCCGGGTTCAAATCCCACCATGGTAGATGGTGGAATTTGAACTCAATAAAAATATCTGGAATTAAGAGTCTAATGATGACCACTAATCCATTGCCGATTGTTGGGAAAAACCCATCTGGTTCACTAATGCCCTTTAGGGAAGGAAACTGCCATCCTTACCTGGTCTGGCCTACATGTGACTCCAGACCCACAGCAATGTGGTTGACTCTCAACTGCCCTCTGGTCAATTAGGGATTGGCAATAAATGCTGCCCAGCCAGCGATGCCCTCATCCCGTGAATGAATAAAGGAAAAATAATCTCTTTCTCTTCAAAGTCTCATTGCTGGAAGGAACCTTGCGCTTCATCTGCCACTCTGGGCAAATTCTCTGAGTCCATTGCTGCACTGTTGCTTGCATTCATTTGCATTCCAGTTCCCAGGAAAGGAATTGCTACATGATCACCAAACTGACAGGCTTTCAACTGGACACTGACTTTCTTCACTTAACAGTCATGTAAATTTTTCATTTTTAAGAAATTCATAATTTAAACTTCCTTCTATTTCTTTTTCTTTCTACCTTGTATGCTTTTGTGGTTGACTGAAGTAGTGAAGCAAGTCCCCCATGTTTTGGATGTTTTGTCAAATAAACTCTCATTTTGATTTCAGCTTGAGGAATTTTGCAGTGGATTTATTTGTAAGATTAAAGCTCAAAAAATACAGAGTTTGGCGAACGTGCCTTGGCCTACTTCAATAAGGGATAGGGTTAAAAGAAAAGGAAAACAAGATATCAAACAACACATCGTTACTTCAGGCATAAGAGGGGAAAGTGATCACAAATTAAAATCAACTTCTTCTTCCACTGTTGATAACACCACCTGCCAGAGGTTTTGTCCTTTGTCCTTCTTTGTTATGGAATGTAGGGCCAATTGCTCATTTGTAAATGTGATAGGATGTCTTTACCCTCTCCTTCATGAAATGCGCAGCTGAACTTTCCTTCACATGTCAAGAATCTGACGTTGGGGCTATTTCCCAACCATTCCACAATGATATCCACAATGATCTCATGAGAGGTGGCCAATTAATGAGCAGCCTCAATGTTCGCTGTTCAATAGCGGGCAGCAGACATGAGGCCCAGTTGGAGGGCCTGCAGCGTTAGGCAGCAGTCAGACCAAACGGGACAGCTGTCGCTGATGAGACAGAAAGGGGACACCCTTCAAGGATACCTCAAAATGGAGGCTCTGTCAGAAACGTGAAGAAAATTGAAACTTACAAAAGCCCGTGGCCACACTGGTCATCGGCGTGGCAAAGATAGCCCTCCAAAGGATTGTCTGTGGTTGCTGTCCTTTACATCTTTTGCATCCTCATTAATGGGGCATTAAGGAGAATCTTTGGGGATCTCTGGCTTACTGCTGTGAAGTCCCCTTGGTAGCTGCTTGGCTGTGGACACAGCTGATGGGTGGGTCTGATTCACGGGAAATGGTGACAGTTTCAGACAACTAAAAGGAATTTTAGCTGGATTCCTGCCTCTGATGAGGAGGTTATGGATTCCCTTGGCACCTTGTCCCTGGGAAACACCTCCTTTTCTCTCTCCCATTCCACCCAGGATCTCCATTGATTCACTGGCCTCCCTTTCTACCAAACCTTTTAAAGGATAATACAGCACTCTATCTCAGGCCCATACATGAAGAAAGCAGTCACGAGTCACATTAATCAATGTCATACTCTGCTTATTTTAGACATCACACAATCCCAAGTTCTTCTATTCACTGATCTTCATAATTATTACACTGAAAGCTAGATTTTCCTTGGGGTCCCAAAAGTGAGAGACCTGAGGAGCACCAGAATTTCAACATCACCTGCAAATCCAGATTGTGTTTATGACCTCCATGCATGGCTCACCCTAAGGAAAGATATCTTTTTTAGTCCGGACTAGCAACAGCCTCTGGTTCTGTTCCAGGAGGTAAAGGGGATTTGGTGTTACAATGAGGAATGGGATAGGGGATTGGATGATTGTGATTCAGAATAGGTGCTGACGGACACACTGTATGTCACTGACAGATCCTCCCCAGGACAGGCAACAAATATTAGGTGGGGCTTCCTCTGTGTAGCTTAGGACTCAAATTAACATTTACAAGGGGCTTAATCTCCATGCACGGCTGCCATCCAAGGCAAAAATGTACCCCACAAATTTGTTCTCATTACATGAATCTCTTTTGGGACCTCATTCCACCATGTCCTTTATAAAACCAACATCTGAAAGATAAAGATAATTCAACATTACACCAAGGGCTCTGTAATATTATTTCACATGAACAGGTAAATGAAGTGCTCATTAAACTACACTTTTTAGAACATAAGAACATAAGAACTAGGAGCAGGAGTAGGCCGTCTCGCCCTTCGAGCCTGCTCTGCCATTCAATAAGATCATGGCTGATCCTTTCGTGGACTTAGATCCACTTACCCGCGTTCTCACCGTATCCATTAATTCCTTTATTGTTCAAAAAAAATCTACCTTTTTTTTAAAAACATTTACTGAAGTAGCGTCAACTACTTCACTGGGCAAGGAATTCCATAGATTAACAACCCTCTGGGTGAAGAAATTCCTTCTCAGTTCAGTTAGGCTATTTATTTGGTGTAATTGGAAAGCAGATGGACAGCTGCAACAAATTTTCTATCATTGTGCATTCAGAACACTACATGTCGATGAACAGTATGCATTTGGGATGCAAATTCAGGATATAACCTTGTTTCTGAAGTGAAGTGTTAAAAATGCTGAGTGTCAGTTAAATATGACAGTCATTTCTTACAATGACACACAAATCTAATTCCTCATTCTGAAGTGTTCCGTGATTACTTCTGGACTGAGCTATAAAGTAGAATTTTATTCATGTGATGCCTTCTGACTGAAGTGTTCAGAGACATGTTCTAATACATCCACTTACCCATCCAGATCTTGAAAGTTCACATTCACTCTCTTGGCAGATCCTAATAGCTCTGTAAAAGAAAAAGAACAAAAACATTTAGAAGTGAGCAGTGAGAGAAAATTGAACTACACAAAAACCATCAGCATAGAGGGAGCTATTTGACCCATCGAATCTGCACTGGCTGAATGAAAAACTTTCTGATTAATTCCATTACCTTACTCTTTCGCCATAGCCTTGCAATTTCTTCTAAACATACCCAGGAAGAAAATTTACATTTCTACAGTACCTTCATGACTTCCAGAAGGTCCAATGCACTTTACAGCCAATGGTCTACTTTTGCAATGTAGTCACTGGATAATGTGAGAAACAGAGGGGTGGCACAAACAGTAATATGATGAACAACCAGATAATCAGTCTGAGATTGCAAGAACTGCAGATACTGGAGTCAGAGATAACACAGTGTGGAGCTGGAGGAACACAGCAGATCAGGCAGCATCGGAGGAGCAGGAAAGTTGACATTTAGGTCGGGACCTGTCTTCAGAAGGACTTCTGAAGAAGGGTACCGACCCTAAATGTCAACTTTCCTGCTCCTCTGATGCTGCCTGGCCTGCTGTGTTCCTCCAGCTCCACACTGTGCTATCCCAGATAATTGGTCTTTTGTAATCTTGATTGAGGATTAAGTATCAGCGAGGATACCATTGTTTCTCTTCAAAAGAGTGCCGTGAGATTTTTTACATCTATGTACCTGCTAGAGAAGGAGCAAAACTTGACCTCTTGGGAAATAAGGCAGGGCAAGTGAGTGAAGTGATAGTCGGGGAACACTTTGGGACTATTGATCATAAACTATTAGTTTTAAAATAGTAATGGAAAAGAATAGGCCTTCCATAAAAGTTAAAGTTCTAAACTGGAATAAGGCAAATTTTAAAGGTCTGAGACAGGAACTTTTAAAAATTGATTGGAGTAGATTGGTCACAGGTAAAGCGATGACTGACAAGTGGGAGGCTTTCAGATATGTGACAATGAGAGTTCAGAGGCATTATGTTCCTGTTATAGTGAAGGGGAAGGCTGGTGAGAGTAGTGAGCAATGGATGAATAAAGGTATTGAGGTCAAGAGTAAGAAAGAGTCATACATTAGATATAGCCAACTGGGATCAATTGAATCTCTTGAAGAGTATAAAGTGCAAGGGAAATTGTGTCTCATAAACCTGACTCAGTTTTTTGAGGAAGTAAACAAAAAGATTGATGAGGGCAGAGCAGTAAACATTGTTTACACGGACTTCAGTAAGGCCTTTGATAAGGTTCTGCATGGCAGACTAATTAGTAAAGTTAGATCACATGGGATTCAGGAAGAGTTTGCTAATTGGATACAAAATTGGCTTGATGGTCGGAAACAGAGGGTGGTGTTAGAGATAACAAGGGTATAGACCTGAAATGTCAGCCTTCCTGCTCCTCTGATGCTGCTTGGCCTGTTGTGTTCATCCAGCTCTACACCTTGTTATCTCAGATTCTCCAGCATCAGCAGTTCCTACTATCTCTGAAGTGGTGTTAGAGAGTTGTTTTTCAGACTGGAGGTCTGTGACCAGCAGTATTCCACAGGGATTGGTAATGGGTCCATGTTTGTTTCTCATTTATATAAATGATTTGGATGAGAACTTAGAAGGCATGGTTAATAAGTTTGTGGATGACCCCAAAGTTGGTGGTATATTGGTCAGTGAAGAAGGTTATCTAAAGATTACAAAGAGATCATAGAATCCCATAGAGCAGAAGCAGACCATTCGGCCCATTGAGTCCACACCATCTCTCCGAAGCGCATCCCATCCAGACCCACCCCATTACCCAACCATATCTCTGCATTCCCCATGGTTAATCCACCTAACCTACACATCCCTGGACACTGTGGGCAATTTAGTATGGCCAATCCACCTAAACTGCACATTTTTGAACTGTATGAGGAAACCAGAGCACCCGGAGGAAACCCACGCAGACACAGGGAGAATGTGCAAACTCCACACAGACAGTCACCTGAGGGTGGAAGCAAACCTGGGTCCCTAGTGCTGTGAGGCAGCAGTGCTAACCACTGAGCCACCACGCCGCCCTCAATCTCGATCAATTGGGCTGAGGAATGGCAGATAAAGTTTAATTTGGATAAATGCGAGGTATTGCATTTTGATGAAACAAACAAGGGCAGGACTTACACAATTAATGGCAGGCCCTTGGGGTGTTGTAGAACAGAGAGACCAAGTGGCTCAGGTCATAATTCTTTGAAAGTTTTGTCACAGGTAGACAGTGTGGTTATCAAGGTGTTTAGCACACTTGCCTCCATTGTTGAGGCCTTTGGGTATAAGAGTTGGGACGCCATCTTGGGGTGTACAGGACATTGGTGAGGCCTTTTCTGAAGTACTGGATACAGTTCTGATTGCCCTGTTATTGGAAGGATATTAATGAACTGGAGATTTTTCAGAGGAGACTTGCCAGGATATTGCTGGGAATGTAGGGGTTGTGTCATAAAAACAGGTTGGATAGACTGGGACATTTTTCACTGGACGGTAGAAGATTGAGGGATGATCTTATAGAGGTTTATAAAATCTTGAGGGGCATGGATAAGGTGAATAACAAGGGTTTATTCCATTGGGTGCAGGAGTTCAAAATCACGGGGCATATTTTTAAGGTGAGAGTTGGAAGTCTTAAAAAGGTCACGGGGGCAATTTTTTTACATGTGTGAAATGAACTGTCAGGGGAAGTGGTGTATGCAGATTGTTATAACATTTCAAAGACATTTGGATGAGTTCATGAATAAGAAAGGTTTGAAGGGATATGGGCCAAATGCTGGCAGTTGGGAATAGTTTGTTTTGGGAACGTGTTTGGAATGGACTAGTTGGAGCAAAGGGTCTGTTTCCATGTTGTGTGACTCTATGGCTGAGAGAATGGATGGGGCCTTTTTGAAAATTGCATTTTGGAAGTGACAATTAAATTAGTTTCTGCCACCCTTTCAGGGACTGTATTCCAGCAAGTAAAAATAGAAGGTATAATTAGTAAGTGTGCAAATGACACTAAAATTGGAGGTGTAGTGGACAGCGGGGCCTGATGGGCCAAAGTGTGGCAGATGGAGTTTAATTTAGATAAATGAGAGGTGCTGCATTTTGGAAAGGCAAATCAGGGCAGGACTTACACACTTAATTGTAAGTTCCTGGGGAAATGTTGCTGAACAAAGAGATCTTGGAGTGCAGGTTCATAGTTCCTTGAAAGTAGAGTTGCAGGTAGACAGAATAGTGAAGAAGGCGTTTGGTACGCTTGCCTTTATTGGTCAGTGCATTGAGTATAGGAGTTGGGAGGTCACATTGCGGCTGTACAGGATATTGGTTAGGCCACTATTGGAGTACTGTGTGCAATTCCCATCTCCTCCTATATGAAGGATGTGGTGAAACTAGAAAGCATTCAGAAAAGATTTACGAGGATGTTGCCAGGGTTGGAGGGTTTGAGCTACAGGGAGAGGCTGGATAGGCTGGGGCTATTTTCCCTGGAGTGTTGGAGGCTGAGGGGTGACCGTATAGAGGTTTATAAAATCATGAGGGGCAGACATAGGGTAAATTGGTAAGGTCTTTTCCCCAGGGTGGGGGTATCCAAAACCAGAGACCACAGTTTTAAGGTGAGATGGGAAAGGTTTAAAAGGGACATAAGGGGCAATTTTTTTCACATAGAGGGTGGTGAGTGTATGGAATGAACTGCTAGAGGAAGTGGTGGAGGCTGGTACAATTACAACATTTACAAGGCATCAAGATGGGTATATGAATAGGAAAGGTTTAGAAGGATAAGGGCCAAATGCTGGCAAAAGACACTAGATTTATATAGGATATCTGGTCGGCATGGACGCGTTGGACTGAAGGGTCTGTTTCCGTGCTGTATATCTCTATGACTCTATTACTCTAAGTGTCTACTTGTTGTTTCAGAAAAAGTCTCCTCATATATCTTCCACATTCTCATCCTTTTGCCAAATATTTCAAACCTACCATCTCTCCTGGCATTACAAATATCTCATGGGATGTGGGAATTGCTAACAAGATCAGCATTGGTTGGCCGTCCCTGATTGCCCTGGAACTGAGTGGCTTATCAGACCATTTCAAAGGGCAGATAACAGCAGGGTTCCCTCTAATTTCTCTTTTTTCAGCATGGACGTCTGAGTTCCAGAGCTGGAAGTCAACGCTGCGATCAACGTCAGCTTGCCGATCGCTGTGTATGGAACCTCAGAGGAGCTGCAAGCATGAGTCTGGACCCATATTGGTCAGACTGAGTAAGGATGGCAGATTTCCTTCCTTAAAGGACTTTAGTGAACAAGGTGGGGTTTTATGATGATCAATACCTTTCTGGTCAACACCCTGCTTAACTCCAGATTTATTAAACCGATTTAAAGTAGACAGTGTTAGGATTTGAAACCCTAATCCTCAGAGTATTAGCTTGAACCTGTGGATAACATTCCAGTGATAGTAGCTACAGCACCAGCCCCGTGTCATCCTGTTTCTCCATACCTCAAACTTCCCAGAATACTAGCGCAGTGTAGAAACACTTGGATGTGAGTCAGAGTCTGACAACAACAACAGCATGTATTTATATAGCTCCTTTAATGTAACAGAACATCCCGAGGCATTTCACAGGAGACTGAATCAAAATTTGATACCATTACACACAAGGATAACGAGGGAATGGTGTATAAGGGCATGCAGGTCTGAAAGGGATAATGCTGTTAAGTGCCTTAAGCACCACCCACCATGATGATGTAATATGGCCTTGGTGGGAGAACAGCTTATGATCAGAAAAGATTGAGATTACTCTTCCTCATGGTCTCTATAACAATGTCTATCATGCCAGTATAATTTATACCCAGTCGCTATCATGCAAGAACTGCACCTTCTTTAAGACAGGAGTTTCATCTCATTAGATAACCAAGTGGTTTACTTCTGCCACACCAGACCAAGTAGGCCCTGTTAATTTCTTACCCTGAAAGGAGTTGTTGGCAGCAAATCTACCTGTTTATTTACTGTCACGTGTATTTTGTTACAAAATACAGTGAAAAGT